TATAGGTGCATCACCCAAGGTTCCTCAAGAACATCAATCTTTCCCAATCCTATACCTTCCAGATGTGTTGACAATTTATCATCTGTAGCTAATATAGTTAGTCATCCTGACTATAGCTGTTGGAAGGTGTAATCCAATACATCTGGAGGGCAAAACCATTTCCAGAGTTAACCAAGTGGTATAGGCTAAAATAGTTAGAATACATAATAATTCATTTAACAATTATTTAATGAGTGTCAGAGGTATTGGCCCCAGGACATTATTGAACACATCTGGCTTCTTCAATCATCCCATTTATAATTGGAAACAACACCCACATCACAGGACTTCTTGGAGGAAACACCACTGATCATTCTGATCCTCTGATTTAGGAGAGTTCAAACTTTTCAACCCTGTGGCTTCCAGATGTGTGGAACTATAATTTCCAGAATTCCTGGGCTCAAGGAGAGCTGTGATCTCTTGAGAAACTTATTTCAGAGGTAGTTATGTTACCTCAAGTAGCCTGATAATGTGATTAGAGAGCAGGGACATGCTAACTAGCTTTGCCTGCTGACTTTGATCCCATTTTCTATGCTCATTACTCTCCCTGTTGCAGAAATAATGTCTATAGATGGCTGCAACACTGGTACAGGAATGTTACATGTGGAGGCAAGGTTAGCCAGCATAATCCTTGTCATCACCTCATTGCATACATTGCTTCAAATTTTAACTGAGTAAATCTTGAAGCACTCCAAGACTATTGCCAAACTTGTGATCTCTGGATATGTTTGTAATGCAGCCGCCAGAATTCCAAGCCAGCATATATATGCATGTTTCTGTGTTTTGTTACTCTGAAAGGGAAATATGTTGTTGTTGTTGTTGTTGTTGTTGTTGTTGTTGTTGTTGTTGTTAGTTGCATAGTCATTTCTATTCAGATGTAGGGTCTCCTGTTTGGGCAGAGGATTGGACTGGATGATCTGCAAGGCCCCTTCCAACTCTGTTAATCTGTTAACCTAGCAAATCTTTTCCAAGGACCGAGGATGATGATGATTTTTATTAACAAAACAGTTGGCTTCTCTTTGAATAAATCATATCGATCAGTCTTTTAAATGATAGGAATAGCAGTAGAAAAGGTAGAAGTAACATCATAGTTACTTCCATTCCTCTGTGTGTAGGGGAGGGGGCAGGAAACCTCTGGCAGGCACTGCAGTTCCCAGAGTAGAGCAGGATGATTTCTGCTTCCCTTGTTGTGCTTGGGAGGCTGTGTTTTGCCATCTAGGCTGAAGGGAGCTCCTCTGGGGATTCAGAGAGGGGGAGCTCCAGGAAATGAGATGCTCTTGGGCAAGATCTTTTCTTCTGGAGCCAAGAACTTGCTCACTGCTTTGCAAGCCACTCATAAGCTTCTCCAAGAGGACGGAGTTTGGACCATGCGTGGAACACAGCCATGCGGCTTCCAGCTATGAATTGCAACATCCTTGCCCTGGGGAGGAGCATCTGGCTTGCATTTGTTACCTCGCCCTTCTCTGTTCCAGCCTCTGTTCCTACTCTGTTTCTGCATGTACTACCTTGCAGAAAATAGCTCACTGAATCAGGTCCAGTCTCAGAAGGATCACAGTCATCAAACGGTTTAAAGTTGTTTCATAAAGCAAGAAACGGAGGGCTAGAAATAAGATTTCCAGGAAATCGCAGCAAGAGGGCCCGTTTCTGTCATTCTGTGCTGCTCTAAGCAATCGGGGTGGAGTTACTGTTTACAGTCCTTCAGGGAATGTATTTGTTTTAAAGCTGGCTTTCTGCTGGTTCTCAGTCAATCTTTCCAGCTGAAATGCTTTTCAGATTTGTTCTGGTGGGGTTTCTCACCCTTGTTGTGCTGTTTGTTTGCTTTGTCTTAAGAGCCTGTGCTTTGCAAGCTTGTGAATAGATTTCTCTGGAGATACAATAGGGCTCTGGCTGATATTGCCAATGTGTTTTTATTTAAAAGCAGAATCAAACAACCCCCCCTCAAAAAGGGGGGGGAACCCCATATATGCATTATGAGAAACAAAATGTGGAGCCAGGAGAATGGAGCCTAATCAAAGAATGTCTGCGTCAGCACAGTGTCCCTATCTTAGATGTCCTCATGACATCACCAGTATCTACTTATCTCTTTCCATGCTATTTACAAAAAAGCAAGGTTTTTCTGCCCTGGTTCTTACCTTCTGAAAACTTCCTAGAGCTGCTAGTATTTCATCCTCAGTGCTGTGCCACATTAATTTCAAGCAATTGGAATTTCAATTAGTTACATCCCAATGCTTTCTGAGTACAGATTTTCTTTTTAAAAAAGAACCTTGATGACACCAAGATCACAAAATCCATGAATCAATTTTCTTGCATTGAAAAAGAAGAAAATATTAAAAGCAGCCATAAAAACTCTGATTCAAATTAAGGCTGCAATGGTTCAGGAAAGATGTTAAAAATTATTTGACCATGCTCTTTTAATTGCCATTGTCCAGCTTGAGAATCCTGTCCCCTCTTATACCTCAGCACATTTTTTTCTATCATTCTCACACCTGAATAGATTTTTTTCCCCTTGCACACTTCAGCCTTGTAACTAGGAGTCCTTTGGTTGTTTATGTTCTTCCCTGAGGAACTGGTCCTCTACATCAATCCCACATCTCTCTAACTCATCTATGGAACAAGAATGGGTGGTCCTTTCCCCAGGAATAGCTGTCTTCCCTCAGAGAAGCTCTTGGTAACTTATGACAGTGGGGGAATTGGGCAGGGCTAAGTTCTCCTACATTTTCTTTCTCCAACGGAGTGAAGAGATGTTGCATTGGGATTAGGGAACTGACCTTCACCGTGGAGCTGAGTGTAGTCATTCTTTCTTAACCATTCTACTACAACGTGTTGTTTTTGTGCAACTAAATTTCTCATGTTACTGTTTTCATTTTTCAAAGGAAAGGAGGACCGTAAATGTAATAATTAAAGATCTAAAATGCACTTGGAATATTAAATATTGTTAAAATAATATTTAATATAATTGTATGTATTCAATAATGTATTCAATAGTACTCATAGGCTGCTGCATATACACACAAATGGCTTACAAACATGTTTTATTTTGCTTGTTACCCTCATTTTTATCAAGATCATCAGAAGGAGCTTCAAATAAGCTGCCATTTTTAATCCATCTGGATGGGCAGAAGGGGAAAAAAAAAGAGCTGACTTTATTTTCTGCAAGAACACTGCCCCCTTATGGCATTATAGATTTCCTAGAAACTGTTGGAATATGAATTCTGTAAAATTTACTTAATCTGTGGTCTTTTTCTTAAACTTAGTTTATATATAGCTGTAAATAAATCTTTTAACAAAGATGTCAACAATAAATAAATAAGTGCTGGCATATGTATGATTTTCATGATCTAGAACAGAGGCAACAGAGGACAGTATTAATTCATACATGAAATCTCCAACTGATGCTCTCCCTCCACTGCTAGTCTGTACTTTTATATTTTCTATGTTTTAATTTTCTTTATATGCTTTATTTCTAATTTCATGAAATTAGAAATAATTTCATGAAATGTATGCTAAAATTCTATACTGCCTAGAGATCCGCTGCATGTTAGTAATATAAGAGGCTTTAAATAATTTAACTGTGGTTGAAAACAAAACTTCACAGCACTCTGTCTCAATTTAACACTTTTCTGAAATTTACATTTTTCCACCAAAGCATAAGCAAAAGTAAATCAGTCAGACCCCCTCCCTTTCAGTGGTTCCTGCTGAGCTGAATATACAGTGCTGTGAATCCAATAATTTCACAAAATAGATTTCAAAATTTTAGGTTTTAAGCAGTGGTGAAATTCATTTTTTTTACTATCGGTTCTGTGGGTGTGGCTTGGTGGGCATGGCAGGGGAAAGATACTGCAAAATCCCCATTTCCTCCCCGTTTCTGAGAGAAGGATATTGTAAAATCTCCATTGCCACCCCACTCTGGGGCCAGCCAGAGGTGGTATTTGTCAGTTCACTGAACTCCTCAAAATTTCAAAATCTTTTCACCTTTCATTCCAATAACAACACTGAAAAATACTTAAGCTGCTCTATTTAGCTTTTTAAAAATGCTTAAAGAATCAATAACATTTTAAATTTACATTCTTTCTACTTTTAAAAGAAGTAAATAATCATTACCGTTAAAATTCATTACAAAAGTAATGAAGCTATCAATGCCAACAGAATAAGCTTTATAACACAGCAGTAATCCCAAAGGTGCTTTTTTAAGAGGCAACTGGGCTGTCTTGTTTTTTCTTTTGAAGACGTTCCGCTTCTCATCCA